CTTTTCCCCTTTCTTACGCAATTGTGTGCGTATAGCAAAATTTGACGTATACGCACGCAATTAATTGCGGGCGCATAGACTCAGCCTAACTATTCACACGCCAGTCACTGAGCGCACGTGTGACGTGTGAGCTCTGACAGAGCGACGTGGTGACATCTGCACGTCACCATTCATCATACTGCTTCGAATTTTGAATTGGGCCTCTGGGGAAGGGGAGCTTTTTTATTGTATGTAACAGCTAATTTAATAGAAAACAAAACAAAGCAAAAGAAAACAAAACAAAACAAAACAAAAAACCCACAAAAAATTATTCGCTGCGCTTATTCGAGAATAAAATGTCCCTGCTTGAGCTATTCATAGTCTAGTGTGACGAGTGAACATTGAATAGTCATGGATACCCTTTAGAATTTAGAGGAATATTTTTAACTCTCGTTGGCTCCTCTCATAAAACTTCGTCTCGTAACCATCAAATATAGAATATTTCTGTATTCCTATCTATAAAATTGATTATAGATTCATAATGCATGGGTGGTTGGCGGGTGCTCTGGTGCTGTTTGCTCCTTCTTTCCTATAAAAAACAACAACACTGTCGTCTCTATCTCCCCTCCTTCTTTTTTGTGTTTGATACTCTCTTGTAACACCTCTAATCTTCGGCACTTATATATGACCTTATTGTGTTGCCAGTGCCGAAAAACTCTTACTAAAACTAAAAAGATATAATGTGCTCACACACACATGGCACCTGAAAGGCTCTGACACGCTTCGAATAGCTGTAAGTTGCGCAAAAATCGTGAATGTTGAATAATGCAGTCGAATGGACACAAAACTACCGTATTATAATACCCAGTGGGCGTTGGTCCAAAGGGATAAAAAAATGCATGCAGTGCATTAGTAGGGGAACAAAACGATGGGGGCTTAGACAGGCAAACTGTCAGATAGATAATAGCTGGGGCATACAGTCATCCAGATAGAAAATTAGACACACATGAGAGCGAGAGAGAGAGAGAGAGAGAGAGAGAGAGAGAGAGAGAGAGAGAGAGAGAG